CTATTCCGAAGTATTTAGAGAGTAAAAGAGCCATTTTTAATTGAACCGGCATTTTCTAATCATTAGTCAGAGCAAGATAATATGTAACTATTCTCTCTCGTACATTCTAAAAAATATCAGTGTGGATTTAACACTATCCGGTGTTTACATAAAACCCATGATGTTTATTATGTCAATATACCACCGTAGCATGAATTAAAAGTTCATGTTATTATAATAAATTCATATCATGTTGATGTTAATATTAACCCCAACACGATGAGAATTATATAGACACCGGCATGGTGTCGAATTTACATCGATATTTTCTAGAACGTAGGATTTTGCTAGAACATGAGCAAGCTTTTAAGCCGTGATCAAACTGGAGATTGATTGAGATCGGATTGGAATTTAACCAATCAGAAGAAAGAGAAAATCAATCTCAAGTTTAGTGAACTTTACTTTGATTGGTTAAATTCTAAACCCAATCTCAACCTCAATCTAGTCTGATCACAGTTTAGAGATTAATTTTCGATTAAAGATTCTCTATAACCAACACGACGAATCTCTTGTAACTTTCACGTGCTTATGCGTCTATCTATTTCGAGAGATGTCATATACAAGCGATTACATGGAATGGAAACTCAAGCGGAACAAGTCACGGTAACGTCAAAAGTGACGTTAAAATAAGCCGTGAACGATCGAAAAATAACTTCCGATGCTCATTTCGGAATCATTTTGATGTCATTGATGACTTGTCGTTCTGCTTGAGTTTCCATTCTCTTAGCGGCCGCCGCCCGCGGAATTCCGCGATAAGGCCTCGGCGTAAATCAACGGCGTTTTATCGACAGGCACGTCCAAAGGGTGCAAACGCGAGCGGCTGAGGAGAGGAGAGATGAAAGGGTGGATGGTCCAGCCGCGGGGGGGGGGGAGGGTTGTTTTCCGGTTGCGAGCGCGCATCATCCATCGGCGCTGGGTGATCGCGACTGTTTGGAAAAAAAAACGCGATCGTCGGCCGTGGCTTTTCCGCACCGTCGCCTGGACCAAGATAACGAAATGCCGATATTCAACCGCACGTAAATATAGCCTAGTTATATTTATATCCTCCCGCGACGCTCGCGCCGCAACGATCACGCATTCGATCGGCGGAAATTCTGCAAATTCCGAACCGAAGTCGCGGAAGCTTATCCCCTAACATAATCTGAGAAGATTTTATCCACGGGAATATTATATAAAAGTATAACCGCGAGGAAGGGAGATGGAAGATCACGTAGAATTCTATCTCGTCCCCCGACGTCCTTTTCAATCGTGGATTCCTTTACCGAGGGGTTCCTCCCTTGACTGTGTATTTTGATAACGATAGCGGGGCGATGAAGAAAAGAAAAGTAATAACCTCGTGAAAGATTCACGCGAACGTGTCGTTATCAGCAGCGAAATTCTTTATTTATCTTTCTTCCTATCTCTCGCTCTCTCTCTCTCTCTCTCTCTCTCTCTCTCTCTCTCTCTCTCTCTGTCCCTTTCTCTATTGCGGTCTTTCCCGGATTAAGCGAAAAAGGCGGATATCGCGAATGCGGGTGCCTCGGTGTACCAAACCGATATAAATAACGGCCGGTTTGTACGAAACCTGTCAGCTCGGTTTCACGTCGCTCGCGGTCCGCGAAATGCACGCTGCAATTGCCGTCGCATTGTTCATTTCTTACGCGCCTTTGTGAAAAATACAACCCCTTCTCGGAAAAGGTAAAGTAGCGCGCAGCAAACAGGGAGGTTTGATCTTCGCGCGCGTGCGGTTTGCGAAAACCGTTATAACAACAGACAAAAAAATATCCTCGAATAAATACCGAGCTATTGTGTATAAATTTATACATGTGTATGCAGGTGCAAAGCCTGCTGGCACTACGAATGTTGTCGACTGAATTTTTGAAACAGACGCGCGATAAAATTATCGCGCGGAGCGAGCCATCGCAACGTGGGAAAAAAAACGCAACATTATTACGCGCAGCATGAAAAAAAAAAACATGCGATTCGCGGAGCGATGTATGTTCTTCCGGGGACAACCATTTCGTTAAATCGCGAGCAATTTCCCCGCAAATATTCTCGCGGTCCATTTACACCACCCGTGAGCGTAAAATATTTTGCTTTACACTCGTAGTGAACCAATTAAAACCGTCCGAGTGAGCCTTTCAACGAGGTGCCGAATGGACAGCACGATAAATCGTTAAAATGAGAGAGAGAAATGTACGTATGTGTGTGTATGGCTGGGTTGTGTGCTGTATAATACACGACATGCATGCGGCAAACGTGATCATAAAGTGATTCGTGGCATTCGTTCGTCAATTCAAAAATCAATCGAATCCGAGAAAAGAATCGTGAGGAGCGCACCAAGTCGGGCGAAGATCAAGTCAACTTTATTTGTTCACGTCATGAGGGTCAAAATAACGATTTATGATTATTAAATTTGAAAAATTTGAAAAAACTGTTTGTCGGTATGCAGGAATGAAAATAAAGTTATTTTCGATTTTTATGAATTTTCACATGCGTTCCTCGGGATGCCATACACGTTTCGGTGATTTCGGCGAGCGGTTCAGAATCGTCCACGACACGTTCGGGCATCAGGAATCGCACGTAATTAAACGTCAATGGCCAGATTCGAGGCCTGGATCCTAAACGCTCTTGAAAGCGACTCGCCATTCATTCGTTGGATCGATCAAACGCGCGCGCTAATTGCCCTCCCATTGGAGAGGTGGATACATTAAGTGTTATCAATTAAGAGACCCGGCCAAAGCGCGATTGTCGCGGGCAATTAATCCTCGTGCCGTGTCCGATGGCTCGCGATGGATGCTGAGTCAGCAGCGTCGCGACATGGAGCGTTTTCGGTAACACGGCGTCGCCGTCCAAAAACCTCCACCATTCATTCGGAGATAATGGACCATCGGATCCGCCGAGAGTATTTCCCGTCATTGTTTGTCGCGACGGTGACAAAATATGTAGTTGGAAAACGAAAGGAATAACGTGTGTTATTGGCAGTCGAATCTGACGGAGTGTTTTTTAAACGTTCGAAATCCATTAAACTTACTTTTGTCGTCGATTATTTCTAGACATTGTCAGACAGGGGGGTATTGTTAACAATTGCTATTTCACTTCGTGTATATGTATATACATATAAATACAGAGCAAAAAGGGTTTCCTGCTTTATACTAATGTCAGCCCCATTTAAAATTCTGTTATAATTAACACTTCTTGTAAAAAGATTTTTACTTGTCCTTATAATTAGTTTCATAATTAATCTAACAATGTAGATTAATTTTAATCTCGCTTTACTTTTTATCCTTTTCTAGTTCTAAGAATTAGAAAAGGGCAAAGAGTAAATTAAACTGAAATTAATCTACATTAGTAGAAATGGACATTAAATAAACGTTGCGAAGTCCGGGATTTTTAATGAAAATCATTACATTGTTTTTTGTTAAAAATTCCAGAGCTCGTATTATATAATTCATTTGATAGACGGTCTAATATAAAATTGTTGACATATTTAGTTATATTCTAGCAAAAATAAATAGTTAAGAAGAGTAATATAGTTAAGTAGAGTAAATATATCTTAAGAATTAATTTAAGACATAAACTTGTGAATTACATTTTGAATCACATTAAACTTGATATTGAAAATACCATCTCAAAATAATTTTAAGAAATCTCTGGAGGTATCAGTAATAAGTGGAAAAGAGGTACTCGTTCTGCCCGTGATAAACATTTATGAGGACAGACGCAAGAGTATCCCTAGGAAAATGTAATGTGTATAAAAAGAAACTTTTGAATCGGATAATATCTCTATATGTTCAGAATTTAACTTTAAATTCAAGCTATTTGGATTTTGTGGAAAGTTCAAATAGACCTGAAGAAAGCAGATTCTGTAAAAATATATAGAATCTACTTTACCATCACATTCAAATAGACACATCATAGTCCTTTCATTTAAATAATTTTTCCCACTGTTGTTTTAACTATTTCAATACAATTTTCAAAATATATATTTTACATTAAACTTAAATTAATTATTATTTACAATATATGTATCATCGACTTGAACACAATTAAAAAAAATTCATAATAACAGAAAATAGAATGAAAGCCCACATTTTCATCTATTCCATCTTTTACTCAGTAATTTTATGAAAAAGTAAAATTATGTAATTTTTTGTTATGTTATTTATGTTGCTTTATCATTTTTGTTATCGTTGCTCCGCCGGTTTTCAAACAACTCGAATTCTTCTCTCGTAAGAATTCAAATTGTCTGAGAAATAAGGAACGCGCCATGGAATTTTCGCAGAAGTCCGATAACGTGCGACTATTTAAGCGACCCTTCACCGGGTGGACCTCGAAAGAACTCGGAGTTCCAAGCTACTGTCTTTGGCTGTGCTTTAACGATCTATTAATATTAAACAGGTGTAAATAGCCTCGCCGACAGGTACAGAGTCTTTCTACCGTCTCTAAGCAGTAATGAAAAGCAGTGTCCGTGCACCATCCCCATGATCCCCATTCTCGTTCGAAGCAGCAGAGAGGAACGTTTTCATTACGCCGCCACTGCAGTTACCTTTTTCTCCCGAGATGAAATTTTTATTCAAACCAAGCAAAAGTTCTTTCTTTACTCATACAGAACAGAAGATTGCGGCAACATTGCTGCAACATCTTTAACGCTAATGCAATATCGCTGGAATGTTACTGCAATATTGTTGAAACGATTTATGCCGTATTGGTTTATATGTAATTTGTGATAACGTACTACTAACTCGCAGCCTCTAATTGTTATAGATCTCTAAATTAATTAATAAATCTTAGTATTAATGATAAATCAATATATAATTTTTTGAATTTTAATCTTCTACATCCTTCGATGGAAGACTTCATTTTCCTCGACGGAAAAATAATATCAATAATAATACATAATTGTAGAATCGGAGGGGGGGGGGAGAGGGGGAATGTAATAAGCGATTATTAAATGCGAAACATAAATTATTGGGACTCACTAATTGCAGTGCACACCCCTACGATCCTTGTTATTGTCGACAGATGATGCACGTCGCTCGGCCTTTCGTAAGTAGACATATCGCCGATGGGATCCTTCACGAGGTCCTTTGTCTGCGTTATCATGGGACGTCCAATAGATCCGCACGTTTATATGCCTTTTAACAAAAATCCTGCAGGATTATGTCACTCGTAATTACTTGAAAGATATTTTTCTACAAATGTTTTTATAATTGGAGCAGTTATCTCTTCAAGAGAGCTTATTAAACGTTACTCTCTGTAACACTTTGACAGTAAATCTCTTTCTAAAAAGTGAAATCTTGCCCTTAAAAGATTAAAAATTAATCCACTCTCTTTAGAGATTGATTCAAATTTCACTTTCAGAATGAGATTCCATTCCAAAGAATTTAAAGAGTAATCAAGTGCCCCCAAAAAAAACATGTGACATTTACTTCCTACATTAAAAGCAAATTATCTTATAAAGAACATTTTTGTTTAAAAATTTATCTAATCAGTGAACGGTTACTTTTTCTCGAGTCGATGATGTGAACTCGCTTGCAAATATAATTCTGCAGCGGTTGTTCTCGGATCGAAAAATCTGCGTCAAACTCTCTGCAAAACTTTCTTTGTCTTTTGTTTGTTCGCTCCTTCGTCACAGCGCGATCCGATGGTGTTGCGTTATTTTGAATTTTCTCTCGACATTTCTACCGAAACTTTTCACCGATCGTCAAAGCATCCTCCACTGTTGCAAGCTCACGCGAAACTAAACGCGCCGCGATCGCCGAAGAGGGAAAAGCGCCGAACTTGCGCAAATGCCGCCTCTGTTCGAATTTCCTGTGGCTCCGTACCACGTGTCCCTCGAGGCGTTATTACAAGAACATGTAGCATTATAATTTTACAAAGGTTCGCGCATTTACCAGGTGTAACCTTTGCTATTTTATTGTCTCTATATACACACGTATACTCTCTTGCATATTTTTAATCTTAATGTCACATAACA